ATAAATGAGATACAAGATGTTGTTTAAATTTTATTTTTGTATTTGTTAAGACTTGCTATATGGCTTACAGTGGGGTCTATTTTGGAGAACATTCTATGAGCTTCTGAGAAGAATGCATTCCATCATTGTTATAAGGAATCTTCTGTATTCTGTTCCATCCATTTGATCTTAGATTCATTTTAATGCTGAAGTTTTCTTATTCATTTTTGTATGAATGATTCATCTATTTATGAGAGTGGGGTATTGAAGAAACACACTAGCATTGTATGTGGACCTATCTGTTTGTTTATGTATAGTAGTAATGATAATGGATGCAACCATCTTGGTACAAATGAACTTGTAGTTATTACATCTTACTGCTGGATTGTTCCGGGAATTTCTATGGAGTGACCTTCTTTATCTCTTCTTACTAATTTTAGCTTGAATATATTTTATCAGCTATGAGTATACCTACTTCTTCTTGATTTTTGGTTTCATTTCTATGGTATATCTTTTTCCATCCTTTCACTTTTCATTTTTATCTGTTTTTTTCCACTGAAGTGAGTTTCTTACAGACAAAAAAACAGTTGGATCTTGTATTTTAATCCAACCAGTCTATCTATATCTTTTAATTATGTTTCTAAATGATTTACACTTAGGATGACAAATGAAAGTTATGTACACATTCCTGTTTTATTTTCTAATTGTTTTAAATATACTGCATTCTGTTTTGCTCCCTATTAATCTTAGAAGTTTTCTTAGTTTAGTGAAAAATGTTGGTTCTTAGTTCCCATTTGTTTTTCTACCAAGCTTTATTCTTTCTTGAGGTCTTGTGATTGTGTATAATTTTCTTTCCTTCTTGCTTTGAATTAAGCATCCTCTGTTATGCTGGGTTAGTCCTCTTAAATTGCTTAGTAAATAACCTGGTGATGCACCCCTAAATCACAGAAAAATAAGAATAAGCTAACCCCAAAATTAGTAGAAAGAAAGAAATAATAAAGGCCAGAGTTGAAATTAATGAAATAAATAATATAAAGGAATAATGAAACAAAGATCTTTGAAAAGATAAATAACATTGACAAACCATAAGCTAAACTAATCAAAAGAAACAGAGAGAAGATCCAAATTAATGAAATTAGAAATGAACACAGGGATATTCTACCAGATACTGCTGAAATCCACAGAAACTTCAGGGAATAATTTAAAGACTAACATTCTAATAAATTCCAAAAATCTAGATGGTATAGATAAATTTCTAGACATAGACCTACCAAAATTGAACAAGAGGATACTAACAACTTAAGTAGACCAATAATAAGCAAAAAGATTAAAACAGTAATGATCATTACAACAACAACTAAGAGACCAGGACCAGATAATTTGCTGCTGAATTTTGTTAGATCATTAAAGATAATACCAATAGTCTTCAACTATTCTATGAAACAGAAAAAGAAGGAATCCTCCCAAATTCATTTTACGAAGTCAGTAGCAGATACCCATAACAGATAGGAACACAAATATACACACACAAAGAAAACCATAGACCAAATTCCTCAATGAACATACATGCAAAAATCCTCAATAAAATAATTGCAAACTGAATTGAACAACACATTTAAGAGATTATACAATTGTACAAGTTGGCTTCATTCCATGGATACAAGCTTAGTTCAACATATACAAAGAGATGAATGTATACAGCACTTAAATATAATCAAGAACAAAAATCACACAATCATCTCAAATACAGAAAAACCTTTGAAAAAATCAACATTGTTATGATAAAGTAATAAATGACAGGAGGAATACATTGATCATATCTCAACATGGTAAAGACTATAAATGACCAACTAATACCCAATGGTATGATGAAATCATTTCAACATGTTGGAAATCTGAAACTATTTCCTCTGAAATTGAGAATGTGAGAAGGGTGTTCACTTAGAGCCATTAATCAAGAGAAAGAAATAAAAGGGATTGCTCTAATTTGCATTTGATATGATCCTACCCTTAAAAGACTAATGAACTTAGGACTCTTTGATTTGGTAAGCAAGTTCAGCATAGTAAGAAAAAAAAATCAACCTACAAAATGAACTGAATAGACAGCTCTCAAAAGAAGTATAAATGACCAGAAAGTACATGAAAAAAAGTCAACATCATCCATTAGGGAAATTAAAGAGAAAGTTTTATTAACACTCCATCTCCCCACAGTCAGAATGATGATCATAAAAAACAAACAAAAATAAATGTTGTGGAGGAATCAGGGAAAATGGAAAAAAAGTAACACTTACACACTGGTGGTGAACATGTAAATTAGAGCAGCTATTGTGGAAATCAGTTTCTCTAAACTAAAAATAAAGCTACTATATGATCCAGCTATACCACTCTTGAGTATGTGCCCAATCATCAAAGTCAGCATACAATAAAGATTCATGTATATCCATGTTACAATTGACACTATTCACAATAGCCAAGTTATGGAATCAGCCTGTGTGCCCAACAAGAGGTGCACAGTTTATGTGTATGTAGATAGATAGATGACAGAATGATAGTTACATCTATCTATGTATCTATACATACACATATCTATATATGTGTATAACTATAGATGCATATCTATCTATATGTAAACACATATATGTATCTGTATATACGCATCTATATTTAGGTATGTATCTATATGTCTCTCTCCATATATATACATGCACACATAAATACATATATATATATATATATATAAAACATAGTATGATTCAACCTTAAAGAAGGACGAAATCTTGTCATTAATAGAAAAATGGATGGAACTGGAAACCATCATGTGAAGTGAAATCCAGACTCAGAGAGAAAAGCATCACATGCTTCCTCTCATGTTTGGAATGTAGAAAAAAATGACATGAAAGGAGAAGAGGAACTACTAAGGCAGGAGAGGGAGATCTGGGAGGAGTGATGAGAAGGAAATGGAGTGGTGAATCTGATCAAAGTATGTTATATGGATGCAAGAAAATATCACAATAAAACCCATTGCCCTATACAATAAACACATAGAGATGAAAAACATAAAAAATAAGAATAAAGAAGTATGGTTTGTTGTTGCATATAAGATGCTGCAAATTTTAGGTGCTATATTATAAAAGTCCTGAATTATGAATCCTCCAAACTTTTATTTATGTATTGACTTGCCTAGACTAGTTCAGTGGAGTTCATTTCTGTCAAATTGTCTTGATTCTGATGCCATTTCTGAGTTTTCACTTTTTATTTTTACATTACAGTCTTACCACCTAGAAGTCACCCTACTATCAGCATAGCTTAGTATTCAACCAATAGTTGGTTAGAGGTTGTGATTAAACACCTTAGGCCTGAATATAGAATTTTTAAACCAGTTGAAACCACCATAAGAAAGGGACTAAAGTAGAAAGAAGTAAAAGAGATGTGTGTGTATATATATGCATGGAAGTGCCTCAAGGAAGCTCCATGTGTAGCTATTTTAAACAAGCAAAAATGTGGGTTTTTTTCTTATACAAAATTAGAGAAGAGGAGAATAGAACAGGTCCTGCAAGGGGGGGTTGGTAACAGTGGGATGAGGACAGAGGTGGCGAACATGTGAAGGAGGGTGAATATAGTACAAATACTGTTCATACATGTGTGCAAATGCCAAAATGATACCTGTTGAAACTATTCCAGGAACAGGGGAGAAGGGATAAAGAAGAATGGTGGAGGGGTGAATTCAAGTATGATATATTTGATATAATGCAAGAACTTTTGTATATGCCACAATGCACACTCAGCACAACAATTGAAAAGAAATTTTTTTAAACACCTGAAGCCAGTAAGTGTGTTGTGTTTTGCTGCTTGACCCTTTGGGAGTTTGGAAAATGCCTTCAAAATTCAAGAAATTATGGATCTGTTTCACATTTAATGAACTAACAGTTCCCGCGTCATTTCTGGCTTCTCTGATTGGGCACAGCCACGTGTATGTCCATTGGTTTTTCAATCTGTGTCAAAGGTAATCTCAGTGGGACCATTTGTGGCTCTCTTTCCTTAAACTTCACTGTTAGTTTTCTTACACTAAATCTCTGCAACCTCTTTGCACACCACATGTCTTGGATATAGAATTTCTAAGCTGTAAAGTCCTTCTTCCTTCAGGGAGCAGAGCTGTATGTGCACATGACTGCACACACCCCCACCCCAGGAACAAATCCTGAACCACGAAATTCGGCTATGAAATAGGAGTACATGAAAATGGCCACACTTTTTGTGTGAGATATATGGGAGACTTTTTAATAAACACTTCTCATCAGGAGGATCTTTGATGACTTTCCAGATACTACATAAATGGTTAGGTTTTTTGTAATTTTATCTAGTGTTATCATGCCTTTTTAGTGGAAAGAGATCAATTTCCAGAAATAGACTTTCTGGAATTACCACCTTAACAAATGATTTTGAAATATAATTTGTTTTTATTCAAACATTTTAGGAAGCATTACTTGACAAAACTCTTCTTGATTAGCTTTTAAATATATATACAAAATATGAAAACTATTAAGAAGGAATGTAATTATTAGTGCCAGTTTCTAAAAGAAATTTACAACTATAAGTGGTGCTGTTGTAATCGTATGAAAGTTGATGGCCAACACTTGTTTGCTTTTTGAAACAGCTGCCCTCTTACATAGGAAGAAAGCAAAAAGGATTTGTTTGTTTTTACTTTTTAAAATTTCTCCTCAAAGTCTATTTCTGAATATTCCATCCTCAGAATCTTAGTTACTGTCATAAGGAAGCTATTATTTTTCTCAAATAATCATCAAATGATGAATTCAGAGTATTAATGTGAAAACACTGATTAAACACTGTCTAGCTATTACATCCTTGCTTCTTTGAACTTTGATATTTACCAAAAGAACTTCACTAAACTAACTTCCCAGCAATGCACAGAAATTCAAACACACTCAATGTTAATGACAGCAGGGTTCCAAGAAACAAAGTTCTGAAGCACTTCTAGATATACAAGGTCAGAATCAACCAGCATGTTCCTCTCCATCAATGTCATTCTAATGTTATGGGTTTCCACTGTTGGAGGAGAAGGTAAGTTGAAATCAGATTTGAGTATTTACTTTCTTACTCAAATGTGCTCATTAGTTGTATGTAAGCATATTTTTAAACCAAAAAAAGATGATAACAATTTGGATTACAAATCATAATATTTATCTATATTAATGCAAATAATTAAAAAGATATTATGTTTTCTTCTTTTTCTAAATTCCAAAGTGTTACTAGTAGAGCTGTATATAATTTCTGCTTGGCACTGATTAGAAAACATCCTCTAAAATGTGTGGATATCTTCATAACATTCACACATTGGTTAATTCAAAATATTAAACATATTAAAATGAGGAATTTCCCATTTCAATATAATTATGACTCAACATATCACATTATCTTTTAATAAAACAGTTATAAATTTAGAGTGTATTTTTATTTTTGCATATAAACCAGTGAAATGCCAATAAATCACTTTTTCAGCAACAAATGGGGAAAGTGAAAAAAATCATGTTGCCTCTTTACTAACATCAGAAACAGCCTTAAAGTGTTTTAAACACTTATTTTATTTTATAGTATCACCATTTGAAAGAATTGCAAACAGAACTTTTACCAAGGTATAGGAGACTGACTAAACTGTATAAATGGAATTTCAATCACTGATTTTCAGGAAGGATTTATTTTGTTGTTTTGTTGCTTTGTTAACTGTGGACATCATTGAAGTTTTATTTGTCCAGTTTCTCTTCGGTTCTGACATGAGAAAAAAACAGAAAAAATTAAAATTCTTTTATTTAAGATCCACTCTTACACAAATTGTAAACCATTATTGCTAGGGACTTCAAAATCATTTTATTTTGTTGCTCCTTTAAGGTTGACTTGTAATCCCAGGAGATCAGTCATCTAGTGAGAGAACCATTTTCCCTCCAATGACAGACACTGCTTGGCTTCAATTAGAAACACTTAGGACTCTGATTAGCCTGCAGGGAGGACAAGACCCTCACTGGCAGAGCTGGATTTGAGGTATTTAAATCAATGCTTCTGCTATGTATTGAAAAACTCAAACAAGTGTTAGAGATGGTATTAAAAGGGGATTTCAAAATGAGGAAAAAGCAAAAGAAATGAAAGCAAGAATATAATATGTTTGTCCAAGATAAAACTAGTCCAACATTCAGTTTTGTGGAGAAGCTCTAGTGAAACTGTCTCCAAAATTTGCCCAAGTGTTAAATGTCCTGTAAATCTGTACTGACATCTGTTGGGTGCCTGTTGACACTCTGCAAGATAGTGGAAGATAGTGGAAGCAACATAGTAAAGTAATATTTTTGTATACATAGAAAACTCTACATGGTTTTAATAGAAGAATAGTTATTATCTTTCATCCTGAAGCAAGGAGGCTGGAAAAAAAATGAAAACCCCAAGCATGCCTCACTACAAATTATAATGTCCTAAAAACATTAGGACTGGCTGTGTGTGTGTGTGTGTGCGCGCATCCCATAAGAAATGTATTCCTAAGGTGCTCTCAGAATGTAGAGTGATAGAAATATATCATAATATATCTACACTTTGGAGTGGATGCTTAGAGACTTGTCAAGAGGTTAACATTCGTAGCTACCACCACTGGTGATGCACACAAGAGTATTTGATGTATGCTGTGGAATGCATTTAGAACAATGGGTAGAATAAAATTGGAGGATAGAAGTCACATTATTCTGGATTCAGATGAATCTGTATGTATAATGCATAAAAATCCGGTGCTGTAATTTGAGAGACAGGATAGAGGGTCTCTAAACAACAGCTGTAATAGGTAACAATACACATGGAAGTCTAGACCTGAAAAGCTCTTTAATACTATCTAATGTCAAATTTAAACAATTAAACAACTTCAGGTTTCAGAAGGCTGAATAGCATAGGAATTAATAGTTTCAAATATTGTGCAACATTGATCATTACCATTAGATAAGTGAAAAAGAATGATTTCCCAGATTTGTGAGCTGAATTTGTACATGATGTTTTCCAAAGAAAAAGAGAAATAAAACCCTGTCTTATGCAGTAGTTACATATAAAGACAATATCTTGAGCCTTAATAAAAAGCTGTTGTTCAAAGTACAGTACTCCAAACCTGTAGCATATACACTAGTTTCACTATAAAAGTTCATCAGAATTCAGCTGCAGCTTTATCTTGATGGATTGTTCTTAGTGATTCTTTGTATTCCAAAGTATTTTAGATGAAATTTCATTGACTGTATAATCACAAAAAATCAAAAGGATGACATTAATAAACAATATTACCCACCCCACATCTCTAATGTACTGCAAAATACAGCAGAAAAAATCTGGTAAGTATATCTATGGTTGTCAGTTGAAAAAACAAAGGAATTGGATTGGCAGCTATGTACTACCCCATCCTCCCACCACCACATAGGACATATGCCTCTTCCATCTTGACTCTTCTTAAATTATTGTATGAGGTTTCTTCTTGAAGGGACTGTCTACAAAACAGGTCATATTTCATATTACTTCAAAATTTTAATTTAATGTATTGAAAATTTTGTCCTCAAATACACATGTACTCTTTTTAGCGTATACTAATTGTGTAAAAAACAGCCTGCATTTGGACATTTTCATAAATGTGTGTTAGGTAGGTGAAGGCACACAAGAAGGCATTTGAGTTACATGTGGTTAAGATAAATAAGAGGAAAAAGATCATAAATGAGGTAATTAAATGATTTAATGATTCACTAATGCAGACTACCATTTACTTCTTCGGATTTGTTTTACTTTTCCCAGTGGCACTTTGTGATTTTCCACAAATAAACCATGGAATTCTGTATGATGAAAAGAAACATAAGCCATCTTTCCCAGTTTCTACTGGGAAATTTTTCTACTACTCCTGTGAATATAATTTTATATCTCCTTCAAAATCATTTTGGACCCAAATAACATGCACAGAAGAAGGATGGTCACCAACACCAAAGTGTCTCAGTGAGTACACATCCCAATTATTACAGGAGATTCAGTGAAAAGAGAAGAACCCCAAGTAATGATGAGTATATTTAATGACTAACAGTTCTTTTCAAATATTGATTTTGTAGTCACTACATTTTTCCTTTGAAAGAAAGCCAGTTTATATATGCATTGTTCTGAAATAACCATTCTCTCAACTATTAAATGAAAAATGTTTTTACTTTTATATTATCCATAAATCACTTCTTTCATCCTTAAAATCTTTATCAATATTAACACTTCAGTGAAAGTATGGAGCAAATCCAGGTGATGACAGATGTAGCAAAAGAGAAAAACAGTGGAAGACAGAAAAGTTTAGCCAATGAAATAGTGACAGTTATCTCCTCCTGTAAGAAACATCCATGAGAAATTGGTATTTAAGACAGTTTTGTATTTAAAAGAATTAATAAAGTATTATATAAAAAATGCCATACAAGAGCAGCATGAAATACTAATCTCTGTTCTAATATAAGAATAAATCACATACAGTTTCATGACCTAAATTCATTCAAAATATTTTTATATTTGAGCTCAGTTTTGAAAAATTTATAGTTTTTAAAATATTTTAAAATGCAATTTTACTTTTTTATACTATGTTGATATGGCACACTAATCATATTTTTCTTTTAGGGCTGTGTTTCTTTCCTTTTGTAGAAAATGGTCATTCTGTATGCTCAGGACATACACACCTGGAAGGGGAAACTGTACAAATTCTTTGCAATCGTGGCTACAGCCTTCAAAACAATGAGAAAACCATCTCATGTACAGAAAGGGGATGGTCTACTCCCCCCGTGTGCATTTCCACCTGTGAGTACAGTACTATCCTCTGCATCCTGCTGTCATCTAGATTTTTAAAGAGAATTCTATTATCAGAGTTAAATACAGGATTTGCCACTTGCTCCTGTCATTAGACATTTGATTTTTAGTTCCAATGGTGTCTAAGTGGATGTGCAAATAGCATAGTTTTCTATGAGAAAATATGAGATTGTATTTTGAGGCCTGTCTCCTTATGTTTAAGTCACACCCATTTATTGTCTACATTATCAAATTAGTTGGCAATAAATAATCACAAAACTAAAATATTGGAGTGAAAAAGTCTAATGCTTTTTAAAAATGTTGACAGTTTTTAATATTTTCAATTATCTGTGGGTTTGTGGGTTTATTATGGGGATATGTAGTCTGTCTCATTGATCTCATATCACATTTTATGCCTGACTATTCTGCTTGGTTATTATGACTTGGTAGTAGGTAGTGGAGTAAAGTATTCTGACATTTTTTGGCTTTGTACCTTTAGTTCAAGACTTCTTTGGCTGTTTGTTGTGATTCCACATAAATTTTAAAATTGTTTATCTGGTGTTTGAAGAATGCTATTGGTGTTACATAGGACTGTAGCTAAGGCTGAGAATCAGTTTGTGTAGTACGAACACAGCACAATAGAAATTCTTCCACTCGTTGAACGTGAAAGATACGTTCAGTTTGTGTGTGTCTGTCTTCTTCGATTTCTTTTATCAGCTTTTTGTAATTTCATCATAGAGCTCTTTTACTACCTTAGATTAACTGTAGATATTTTTATACCTATTTTGAATGGGAACGTTTTCATCATTGCTTTCTCAGCAAGTTCAGTGTTGGTTTGTAAACTGGTACTAATTTTTGTGTGTAGATTTTGTATCTTGTTACTTTACTGAATTCATTTATTGGTTCTAATACTCTTTAGGTAGAGTCTTTAGTTTTTCTTAATGTAGAATTGCATCATCTTCAAGCAGAGATAATTTAACTTCCTCCTTCTTATTTGTATACCTTTAATTATATTGAATAATATTATATAAATATTATAATATTTAATTATATTGAATAAAAGCAATGAGAGTGGATATCTTTGTCTTATTTCAAATTTTAGAAGAAATGCTTTCTCCTTTTAGCATAATGCTGGCTGTGAGCTTGTCACAAATAAATTTATTATGTTGAGGTGTGATCCTTTCATGTGTGTTCTGAGTTTTTATGATGAAGAGATGTTGAGTTTTGTCACATGTTTTTGTGCATCTACTGAATTGGTCATATGATGTTCTCCTTCATTCTGTCCATGTGATGCATTATGTTTATGGATGTTCATATGCTGACATTCTCGCATCATGGAAATGATCTTTTTAATGTGATATTAGACTTTATTTGTGAGTATTTGTTGATAATTTTTGCAACCATGTTCATTGGGGATATTGGCCTAAAGATTTCTTTTCTGCTGTATCTTTTTGGTAACAGAATAATGCTGGTCTCAATGAATGCATCTATCTGGAAGGCTCCCTTCACTTTCAACCTTTGAAATACTTTGGAAAGAACTGGTTTTAGTTCTGCATTAGATATTTAGTAGAATTAAGAAATGAAGTCATCTGGTCCTTGTATTATCTTTGGCAGATACTTTCATTACTGATTCAGTCTCACTATTTGATGTTTGTCTATTAACATTTCTTTATGTCCTTTCCATTCATTTCCGGTAGGTCATATGTGTCCAGAAATTTATTCTTTTCTTGTACATTTTCCAGTTTATCAGTTCATGGTTGTAATACACTTCTGTGGTATCAGTTTTAATGTGTCCTTTTCATCTCTGATTTTATTTGGGTCTTCTCTCATTTTTCCTTGTTAATCTAGCTACAATGTCAAATTCTTTATCTTTTCAAAGAAAAACCCAACTTTTCTTTACACAAATTTGTAGGGTGGGTTTGAACTAAGAGCTTTGTGCTTGCAAAGTAGGTGCTCTACTACTTGAGTCAAACCTACTTAGTCATACCTCTAGTTATTTTGGAGAAAGGGTCTTATGACCTATTTTCACAGACTGGCCTGGAACCACAATCCTCCCTATCTCATCTCCAATCTTTTATGTCCAGCACTAAGGATTATTTATTTTAATTTCTATTGTATTCTCAGTTCTAGAATTCTTATTTTTAAATGATTTTCAATCAACATATTTGTCATATCAATGCACATTTTTATTATCTTTTCTATTTTGAAATTTTTCTGATTCTTAATTTGATGAATGATCTAATTTTATTGTAGACACATCTGGTGCTATATTTTGAGATGCACATTTTATCTAAAATTCCTATGTAGCAGGTCTCCATTACCATGATGCTGGTTAAGTCTAGGTTTCCCACTTGCCTCTGGCTATGAGACAGAATATTACAGAAAAGTCTTGCCTCCTCAATGTGTGGATTGCCTCTGGTATCAGAGAGTATAGAGACTAGAAATTGATACTCCTTGATGTCATTTCTAGATTACGTCATATCTTAGTACAAAAAGATTTTCCTTTTGCTAGGTTTCTTTATCCTGGACCTCTGATTAAAGGGGTAGATTTCTGTTGGGATTTTCTTTCTTTACTGAATCCTGATATCATTCCTCAGTGTGTTCTTCTCCAGTAATCAATCCAAGATACAGAGAAATTCAATACAGAACTCAAATAGCACAATAAAGTCCCATTTCTTGAACACTGAAGTTCTTAGCCAGACTGAATTTTCTATTGATCAGAGTCTTACAGTTTCTTAAAAATAATATGTCTAACATTTTAGTTGTACTTATCTAGATCAACTGTGGCTGCACTATGTCTGGATTTCAACAAGGTAATTTCACCATGGACTTTCTGAAGTTTTCAGGAACATGATAAAAATTGACCAATTACATGTTTTATTTGTTTGTAGTTTCATTAAATAACCTTATCTGGTTATCAGACATAGGACTTTCTTCTCAATCTTGCTTCATCATTTATTTGTGTAATCAAATAGTTTACTGTTTTAGGGGATATACATATAAAATCACAACTGGAATGACACAAAAGATGATGAAAGAGAATCTATGTTAAGACAGATCAAAGAGAATCCTGTGTGCCAAGTTAAATTTAATAAGATGGAATTTAGCAGTGATGACTCTCAGATTCTAGGCATGGGTCAAAGAAATGAGATGCTTAGTTCAGACAGAATCAAAATAGCAATAAAAATCAGTGAATATTTTAGTGAATTTTAGGATCAATATGAGTCAATGCTGTGATGGAACCGCATAGTTCATTATGAGGCCATGAACTGAGTTGTTAGCGAGTACGAAGTAAAATCAAGTGTTCTAAGGACTGCCAAACTCTGGTAATCAGACCTTATGTGGAATACTATATTGTGTTCAAGCACCGCCTTGTTTCTACACAAGACACAAGTGTAACAAAGTGGCTAAAACCTGTTGTAATAATGCCAACTTGTAACTATATTTTATTCTGCATTTTGAAAGACATCTCATTGGAGTAATTCATTTCATTTATATTCTATGCAACATTGTAATGAGACAGATAACTACATTGATTCTGCATTTTACACTAGTTTCCAATTCTCTGCTCTGTAATTGAATGTGTATTTTAGCTTATTTGTAAAAAAAAAAAAAAAAGTCACTTCCTGCAATCCAAAGACTCAATATTGCCCCAGACACAGTTATTGTTAAATGATACATATACTGACACAGCATGATGCAATTCATGAAATCCAAGGGTAAATAGCAAATATTCTAAATCTTTAAAAAGTAAAAGAGGTTGTTTGGAAGCCTGGTGTTGGTGGCTACAACTGGTAATTCTAGCTACTTGGGAGGCTGAGATCTGAACGATCACATTTGATGTCATCCTGGGCACATATTTCTCAAGATTCCGTCTCAAAAATAACCAAAGAAAATGAACTGGAGGTTTGACTTAAACAGCAGAACACCTGCTTTGCAAGTGCAAAGCCCTGAGCTCATACCCCAGTCCCGCCAAAAGAAAAAAAAAGTGGTGTGGAAAAAATGTAAATGTTAATTAAAAGGAATGAAACTAAATCCTAAATAAGCACTTTAATTTCAGCAATGGTGACTTCATGAAAATAGGACTGTACCTATTAGTCAATGATGGGGATAGGGACCACAGACCAAGAGAGTGTACACAGAGAGATATCCATCTCTAACATTTGTTAACAAAATACATGTTGTGTTAGCAAGAAACCAGCATTTATATATCACCAGTGTGGAGGAACTTTTTGAAAAACCTCTTTTATCAAACAAAAAGGAATATTAATAAATAAATTTAAGGATGCTGTAAAATATTTCTGTATGAGTGCATGTGTACGCAGGTGTGTGTGCATCTGCCTATGTGTGTGTCTATATGTGTGTGTATAGGATGTGTGGCTCTGATTGTGTGTGTATGTATGTGCCTGTGTGTGTGTGTGTGCACAAGCAAGTGTGTTAACAGGTTACATAAAGTTTCCTGAATAGAATAATACTTCATGGAAAAAAAGGAATTCTATTCTGATATTTAAAATACTATTTGTTTCTAAAGAAAGACCTAATTTTCCAGCAAAAACTAGAAACAAAGGAATGTTTATCATAATTTCAACTATTTGAATATTAACAACTTTTCATAGTCCACTTCTCTGGTGACCCCCAAGATATAATTTCAACTTCATTAGCAAAGGCCACCTAATATACTTCGGTCAGCTGAATTCTATACTTTGCTTTTTATGCAAACTTAAATACTGCATGTATGATTTTATTAATACTGGAAGATAATTAATTGATGAAATAATTTATCTCTGATATCACTGTTCACTAAAATAAAATTTTTACTTACACTTTTTTCTTGTAAGTGAAATCTTGTGATTTTCCACAAATAAAACATGGACGTCTATATTATGAAGACAGACATAAACCATACTTTCCAGCACCTATAGGAAAACGATATGGCTATTATTGTGATTACAATTATGTGACTCCTTCAAACTCACACTGGGACTATATTTACTGCACAAAGGAAGGATGGGTGCCAGCAGTGCCATGCCGCAGTAAGTAAATGTCTTCACAATTACGTAAATACAATTCTTCCAAAGAGTGGAAAGAAAAGAGCACATAAGTGATAACAAATAAGTCTGGAATGACAAAAATAATGCCAAAGGCCAGTTGTGGTGGTGCACACCTGTAATTGCAGCACTCAGGATGTGCAGGCAATAGGATTGTGAGTCTCAGGCCAGCCTAGTGAGACACAGTGCATAAAAAATGCAGATGGGGACCAAAGGAAGATTTTTAGGAACAAAACCTCCCTGTTTTGTCCTTTATAATTAATTCTTTATTAAAATCACGTGAAAAGTGAAGATGGGACTTCACATGAATAATTTCTCATTTACACAGGTTTTAATTATAAAACTAAAGATAAATAACATCCTTTTAAAACAAATTTTTTCCAGTACTTTTAGTTTTTCTTAACTTCACATTATTTTTGAATGTTATACAATCCATTTCAATATTGCAAAGATACATTTTTAATTAGTGTTTTGGCCAAATTAATTTTTTTTTCATTTAGTATTATCTTGCTGCTTAGGACAATGTGTTCTCAGATATGTGAAGCTTGGAATTTCTCCATCTTTATCAAGAACATATATACAGGATCAATCTGTGAAAATTCAGTGCTATCTTGGCTATAGTCTTCCAAACAAGGAGAACACAATTGTGTGTACAGAGAGTGGCTGGTCCCCTCCTCCCGAATGCATCCCTGTCAGTAAGTACACTGCTGTGATAAGCAGATAGACTGACCTACAGTAACTATGTAGATGTGTATAAGTGAATGCACAGATTTCTTGATTAGTATATAGCAAAATAAAAGCCCCTATCAGTAGGCATTACTCTAGAGTACAAATGAATACTATATTTAAGTCATGATAACATACATATAGAAATTGCCTAGTCACTCAATGGTAAATGATTATAAAATTAAGTAGAATAGTAGACAAGAATGTCATTCATCTGTCCAAGAAATGATACAACATTTTTACAGCTGTGCTGTTTGTCTCTGAATTTCTCTGGGTCATTTAAGTAGGGGTGGATTTCCTGGGATATTGTGCATGCTCTGCTTTAAAAGGATTTTTCTAGTGCTGTCCCCATAAACATTTATGTTCACAGTTCATTCCTGTTCTCCATACTTGCTAATGAAGTCACATTTAAAAGTTTACAAAATAAATTCTTATTATCTCTTATGCTTTCACTTCAACAAAATCAGAGAACAAGAGGGAGGAACAGATTCTGCCTGGAAGCAAGTGTGGGGGGGATACAAACAATGTATACATATGTATACATTGTAAATGTAAAAATGATAAAATTAATTAAAAAATAAAATGTTACAGCACCATAGTGTTGGTATGCATCTTTTATTATGAATCAGCTTTAGCACCTATGGTCATAAATTAATTGGCAGTTAATTATTTTAATCTGTGAATGTTGTTTGATGTTCTTAACATCTTTTGGTTGGTTTTGGTATTTATTGTGGAAATCAGCATTTCTAAATATTACATATTTCAATTGCATCATTTCAAATGTGTTTTCCACTTCATGGCTTGTATTTTTATTTTTATTAGTTAACACACAGTAACTGCTCCTATACTATGAAATTACCAATTGTTTTGAATAATGTTTTTATTCTTCTTAAAGTAAAACTTCTTCAGGAATATAGAGACATTATACATTTCATTCTAAAAGTTATAATATTTTGTCTCTTTTTCATGTTTTTAATTCTTTTGGATTAGATTTTTATACACAAAAATAATCTATTTTTAATAAAAAGTCTGGAAAGCCCCACATATACATTATCTAATATTGCATTTCCTCATATACCATAGGTCTTTATGCCATGACTATTATTCAGTATATTCTATTTTGCAATATTTAATAAATAATTCTTCAACTCATGTTGTCATAATCCTCAACCATAGAGCAAATTTATAGTAAGTATGGATATCTAATCAAGAACTTTCACCCTAATCTTTTTTGTTAATTAGTGTCATTTTGGGAGAGGCAGGGCTTTAATCTTCCATATACTTTAAGGTCACTTTATCAAGTTCCATTATTTAGATTCTGGTGGAAATTATGTTGAATCTCTAGAATAATTTTTGGATAATCCACAACTTTGTAATGTTCAGCCTTCTTATTTTGGATGGAGTATGTTTCTAAATTTTTTGGTATTCTCAATGCCTGCCAATTGTGTGCTACTACAAATTTTGCTGATAAGAAGCTTTTGGTTTGATAAGTTCTATATTTTTGTAGAGAATGTGTATAATAATTATAAGCAGGATGACTGAAAACCAAGAATGATGCCATATAGTCTCTTTATTCTGACTTCTTCTTGCAGTTTCTCAATTTGTCTTGCATTTTTAGAACTTATAATATTTACTGCACTCAAAGAGAAATGTCCATGAAGACTTTCATCTTCACTGGCTTCCAAGTGACAAAAAGTCTATCAGTGTTCTCGTGAAGGATGGGAGAGAGATTTAAAGATGCGAACACTCTATCTTTTATTCTTCTACATTGTGCTGAAGTTTATTAAAAGTGGTCATATCCTTCATGACAGATTATCTACTGATACTCAACAACTCTTGAACTATATTTGGAATTTTATTCCTTCACGGGCTACTCAAAATGAACTCTAGGTAGTAATACTTTCTATCTATTTAGATAGTTCCTGTGTGAATCCACCCCAAGTGAAAAATGCCACTATAGTATCAAGACAGATGGACAAATATCCACCTGGTGAAAAAGTACGTTATGAATGTAACCAACCTTTTGAAATATTTGGGGAAGTAGAGGTGATGTGTCTAAATGGAACATGGACTGAACCACCTCAATGCAAAGGTAAAGTATTAACTTCCTCAATTTTTGTTAGAGAAGATAATTATCACAAAATATGTTTATAAAAATAAAGTGGAGTTATTCTTGTTGACAATATTTTTGAATGCAAATAAAATGATAAGGCTAAAAGTTTTATTCTCTTTGTGAATTGAGCCAGGAAATAGTATATATTTTCTTCAAGATAGATCCAGCCAGATTGAAGGAAAAAGGGAACCAAGGAAAGTTCTTCATTTTAATAATTAAGACATTGTTATATCCTGAGGAATATATATGTAAAAATATATCATGTACATTTGACAGTACTAAATAGACACCCAATTTGGGCTGTGGCATATGTAGTAGAAGATCAAACATAGAATCTGATATAACTTTTGGCATCTTCAGTATATATATAATATTTGAAGGTATGTGACTGCTGAGGTCATCTTGTGGATTTCTGTATGAACAAAAAGAAGTAAGGGTACTTAGTCATGAGCACTCCACTATGGACAGCTCAGGAAATAAGGAAAACTAACAGTGGAGACATTATATCATCCATTTCCATTTTTAACATTAATTTTCACCTGGTGTTTTTCTCTTCAATTGTACCTATTTTGTTCTTGTGAAGTGAATTTGATAATTATGGCATATACTTGGGTCTTCTTAACCAGTCCATCTTGCTATTCTCAAGCTTTAATTGATATATTTAGACCATTTACATTTAAAGTAATTATCAATATGATGAAGCCATCTATCAGTTTATTTGATTGTGTTTGTTTTCTCTCTTTCTCAGTCTAGTTTCTCTTTTCCTCCTTCTTTCTAGGGGATGATTTGAGAAGAATTTTATTTGGATTTATCTTTACTATTTCTGAGTGTATCTTTCTGATAGGTCCCCCCCCCATTCCTTAAAGTTGTTGCTCTAGGTATTAGTACTGCTCTCTACTAGTGTCAACATTTTATACTTCATTTCAAGTATGGAAACTTCATTTAACTCCATTTACCTTTCCCACATTGTAAGTTAAATGCCATTAATATTTCCTGTATGTACATTGAGCACCATTGAAAAATGATACAATTTTGTTTCACATATCAAACACAGCAGAGGAAACTCATTAGGAGAAAGATAGCCTATTATGCTATATGCCATTCTTTTCATCAGTTGCATTGTTTTTCTTCTCCCTTGTGAAGTCTCAAACACCTATTAGTATCTTTTCATTTTCATTTGAAGAATTCCTTTAGTTATACTAAAGGTAACTCTGCTGGGAGGTAGTCTACTCAGGATGTAAAAGGAAAAGCTTGGAAACAGAGAAGATGAGAGAGAGTAATGAAGGTGAATATGACAAAGCACTTTGTATACATGTATAGAAATGTCATAATGAAACTCCTTATTGTGCGTAATTAATATACACTGATAAAATAATATAAGTTAAACAAAGGTAACTGCTGGAGAAAGATTCTCTTAGTCTTCATTTGTCAGAGAATGTTTTCATTTATGATTTTATTCTAAAGGATAGAGTCACTGAATATAGAATTTGAGGTTAACAGTTCTTTTCTTTCAATTCCTGTGGTCTCTATGGTCACTGATGACAAACCAACTTTCATTTGATTCTAATGCTACATTAGATAAGACATAGTTCCTATGTTGCTGATTTCAAAACTTTTTTCTTCATTTTCATTATGATATGTCATAGCCTGACTTTCATTGGTTTATCATGTTGGAGTTCACTCAGCTTCTTGAATATGTAGTTTTGTGTGTTATGCCCAATCTTTTTCATTGTTTCATCAAACTAGCATCTATCTCTCATACTCTTCAACTTTTTATTTTCTTCTAAAGACTCCCCAAAAAGTGACTAGATTTAGGATTTTGTTTTAGGTTTTTATGCAATACTCAGCATAATTTCTGTTGTTCTATCTTCAGTGCTACAATCTTTTAAGCCCTCCTGTGAGGGTTATTTTCTTAATTCTTTTGTACATTAGATCTGCAATTCTTATTGTTTTTTTTAATGGCAACCTCAACATCTTTGCCTGATCAGTGCATTTTTATTACCTTTTCTGTTTTGACGTCCTCTTGGTACTTAATTGGTGAATGATTTTTAATTTTATTGTAGACATATTCAGTGTTATATTTTCAGATTCACATTGTATTTAAATTTCCTATTTACCAGGCCTCTCTTATCACAACATTGAATGTAGGTTTAACAGAAATGGGGGGGTGAGAACTTGCATCCTCAATGTGTGAGTTGCCTCTGATATTAGAAAATAAAGACTGGACATTGGTGCTCTGTGATGTCTTTTCTAGATTGGGTCATATCTTGATCCAAAAATTTTTGTCTTGCTAGGTTACTGCCTCTTGGTCTTATGGTTAGAGAGATAGGTTCCACTTGAGATTTTCTTTCTTTATTGGATCATGATATCATTCCTGAGTGTGTTCTTCTCTAGTACTCCATCCAGGATGCAAAAGAGTTAGGAAAAGAACTCAAGTAGCACACTACATTGCCATTTCTTGAGCCCTGAAGTTCCTATTGAGACCAAGTTCTCTTTTTTTCCAGAGACTTAGAGTCTCTTGAAAAATGTCCTATGTTTTTATTTGTACTTACTTAGCTGAAGTAAAGTAGAATTGTTTTTTACTCATCTTCACCACATTAGAAAGCCAATAATTCCCCATAACATTCTATGAATTTATAATCCTTTGTTTAGAGATATAAAAATCTTACAATATGTTATATGTAAGAACATGACACTGTCTCAGGTATCTATCTGCTCAGCAATTATTTGTTCAGCCATTTTTAATATTAGGATATCACAGAGCAAACATATTTTTATATATGCCTTCAGTGAAGTGAAAGGATAAACTTAAAAGTGTAACTCCCCATTTATATGTTTGAATTTTCTTCAAGCAATCTTTCTATAACCAGAAATCACACAAGTGTTGATATTTTATAGAGCACTGTATTTGTATTAGCTTATATTAGCCTGTACATTGACTTGGTCTCTCGATAAATCAAATGATGTTTTCAGATTCTACAGGAAAATGTGGACCTCCTCCACCTGTTGACAATGGTGACATTACTTCATTCCCATTGCAAGAATATGCACCACATTCTTCAGTTGAATATCAATGCCAGTCCTTGTATCAACTTCAGGGAAACAAGAAAATAACATGCAGAAATGGAGAGTGGTCAGAATCACCCAAATGTTTAAGTAAGTTCACCAATAAACTCAGGGACCCTGAGAAAATCACTGCAATGGTTACATATTCAACTGTTTATAATAGAACATTTATAGATTAAAAAATAGCTATCTTGCTGAATGACTGACAACCAAATATTAAAGATTTTGGAATTCTTGTTATTTAAAAATGCTTAACTAACAAATAAAATTACATATATTCATGGTTTAACAATGTTACAATTTTTGAGTTATACTATTATTTTAAATTTGTGATTAAAATACATTGCCTGTCAATATTTTCATTATTTCTTTTGTTTTTGGTGGGACTGGGGGTTGAACTCAGGTTCTCATTCTTGCTAGGCAGGCACACTACCACTTGAGCCATTCCACCAGCTCCTGATTGTCCATATTAAGGAGGGTCATAGCGCTATTTCCATATACACATGCAGTTGGCACGGATCAAATCCAACCTCACTTCATCCATCTTTGCCCCCACATGCACACTTCCCAAACTCTACTACTCACTATTCTACATTCACATTGAGTTTTTAAATTTTCCCTATATGAGAGAGAATACATGAGACTTTTCTGGCTTATTTCACTAAAATAATGTCCTTTAGTTCCACCCGTTTCACTATAAAAGATATATGTCTTTTTAATGATTAGACAATATACCATTATATGAACATACCACATTCTCTCTACTAATTTATCTACTGATGGACATCTAGACTGATTCCAGATCTTAGTGAATAGTGGTGTAATAGACATGTGTGTGCAGATTTGGGTATGATGACTTCATTTCTTTGCATATATCCCAAGAAAAAGGACACAAGGAACATATGTGGTAGATCTAGTTTTAGGTTTTGAGAAACCTCCATACTGTACTCCATTACGGCAGTCCTAAGTTACACACCCTTCAATGCAGTATGAGTTCCTTTTTCTCTTCAAGCTCATGAGCTCTTGATATTTTTAGGGTTTTTTTCTTTTTTGTAATGGCCACTCTAAGTGGGCGATATGATATCTCATTTTGGTTTTGATTTACAATTCCATAACGACTAATGATGTTAAGGATTTTTCATATATTTGTTGACTATTTGTATTTCTGCTTTAAAAGTTTTTTATTTGGATGATTTTTCCTACTTTTTGTTGGTTAACTGTCTTTTTGTTAAGCTTTTTGAATTCATCATATATTCCAGATATGAACTCTGTGTTACCTTAGGTAACATGGACATTTTTTTAACACTAATTTTTCCAATCCATGGGTATGGGAGATCCCTTCAATTTTTGATTTCTTCAGTTACTTTCATCAAGTTATTATAATTTTCATGGTAGAGCATTTTCAATCCTTTTGTTGAATTTATTGCTAGATTGGATTTTGGAGCTATTGAGAATGAGAGTTCTTTCATTAATTATCAGCTAATTGACTATTGCTACCTAGAAAAGCACTGAATTTTCTATACTGACGTGATATTATGCTACTTCTCTGATTTTTTTTACCAGTTGTTATGTTTTTATAGGGTTTCCTATACACAGAGTCATATCATCTCCAATCAGGGACAATTTGATTTTCCCCCCTTCCTGTTGTATGCTTTCTCTCTCTTAATTGCTCTAGTAAAAATTTTGGTTTAGCTATTCTGTCATTTAATAAGCTTTCTATGCCCGTAACTCTTTTCTTTTTTCCTTTGTATATATTGAAAATAAAGAAATCTCTTTGTTCAGTGGTGCTCAAAAAGACTTTAATGCTCTTGTCTTTCTATTTTCTCTTTACTTTCTTCTCTCTCTCTCTCTCTCTCTCTCTCTCTCTCACCCTCTCCCCCACCCTCCCCCACTCTCTGTCTGCCTGAGATATTTTTAAATATCTGCTTCAGGTTCAGATATTTTTTCCTGCACTTGATCTAGTCTATAGTTGACATTGTCAAATGAATGTTTATTCAACATGTTGAACCACTCATTTTCAAAATTCTTGTTTGATTCATTTTTCAAACTTTATCTCTTTCATGGATTTCTCATTCATAACCTCCACTGTCCTCATTTAGTTGTTTTTCTGTGTTGTTTTGAAAATCATTTACATTTTAGAAATCATTCATTTAAATACTTTATCCAACATTTCATTTACTTCAGTATCTTTGAACTGAGTTACTGGAGAGGTGTCATGTTGCCTTAATTCTTCATATTCTTGGGTTTCTGTGTCAACATTCACACATCTGGTGGCTCTATTATCTCTGCCACATTGGTCTGGCTTTCTTAGTACAAAGTTTTCTCCTGAAGATGTGTCTTGGAGTCTCAATTTTTCATGTGATATTAGAGTTCTTTCCAGGTAGGCACCACAGTGTAACCTCCCTATGCCTTCTGTGCCTATAACTAAAGACTTTGGACAATATGTGTGCCACTGTCTCTGTGAGCAATATAAGACTGAGGATACTCATAGCAGTCCAGACAGCAGAGGGTGTGAGTGCTCACCATGTGGGTAATCTGACCATGGAGGGGGGGCCCCAATCAGGTGATAGAAGTGCCTCAGGTACTGTTGATTCTAGCTTTGCTGCTTTCAAGGGTCCCAGGCCCTGGCAGCCCCACAGTGCAGACAGGTCTGAAGCATTTGTCCTCTGAGTGGTCACAGGTGTGAGACCAGGTGTCTCATGGGGACAGACAGTAGTGGGAACAACAGCACCTCCACTGTGACATTTATCCCAAGACATCACAGTAGTGCATGATCAGATTTGTTGTACAGGAAGGGTGGCAGTAGATTTGAAATGGTTATGTGGTGGCAGGAACTACGCATTATTCTCTGATGCTTTTGTAGCAGTGCACCCCCAAGTGTCACATGATATCTGGAGCATAAGCCTTGTTCCCAGTTTCTTGAGGTGGACAGTGTGTTGATTTCATATACTTAAAATTATATAATTATATAAACAAAATTAATATACATCAATCAGTATCCTTAGTTTCCAATTCACATGTATATTTTGAAAGCAATTAAAATTTTCTTTCTTCCCTAATTTCAAGTTATTACAGTTTTCTTATTAGAGTCACTTTGCTTTACATTAAATTTATACCTCTTGTAACTCAGTTTGTGTTCTTGAAATGAAAGATTCTGAAATGGAAAGCCCTTAAAATCATAATTGATCTTATGAATCTTTGATAGTAAAATATTTTTATCCCTCATTAGCACATATTTTGACATCATTTACTAGCACTTTTATCTTTAATTCTACATTACATTTTTGCAGAGTTTGCTTGGAAAGGGTTTTGATAAAGAATCCCCAAGGCATTATCCAACATTGTATTAAATACTTGATAGTATTCATAGATTTGTGTACTACTTAATATTTTTGGTCATTTATCTTTCAGGTCCATGTGTAATATCTGAGGAAATTATGAAAAATCATAACATAGTGTTCAAGTGGATAGTAATGCAAAAGCTTTACACCCCATCAGGGACGATGGTGGAATTTAAGTGTAAACGTGGATATCATCCAGCAACATCTACACCTTTTCATACAATGTGTTATGATGGTAAACTAGAGTATCCCACATGCAGAAGAAGTTATGGCTAGAAGTTTTACTATAATTTAAATGTGCCCCTTTGTTCAAAATTTTTCATTATTAATCCATGTCTCAATTTTTTTAAGTATCTTTGCCCATTCTTCATAACAGAGCATTTGTGTTTATATTTGATGATGAACTTGGCATCTGAGAGACCATTGCCACACTTCATTTAGCACTGCATTCAAACCTGATGAACCAAAATGCCATGTTCCCACGACATAACACCTCTATGGCAAGACATTAGATATAATTACTTCAGAGATTATCTGTACCCATCATTCTCCTTACTGTCTTAGCTTTCTGCATAGTTTCTGTGTCTCTCCAAAGTAGTCATTTCACGATAAGTGTAAAAGCTATAATTTCTATGTTCAAAATTATATCACTTCACCAATCTGTAAAAAATAAAGTCATACCTTACACTATCAATAAATTACTACTTCTTACTTATCTATCAGTAAGTAAATGTAAAAATGATGACATGTATGCACTTCTAAACTGCATCAATCTAGCACATTTAGCAATGCAATGAAACATAGAAAGGAATCAAAGTTTTAATTCAGTCTATGATTATACAGCTATAATAGTATTGGCATAAAAATTATAGAAATATAAGATAAGTTATAAACACACAAAAACAGCACACATAGACTTTGTGTCATGGATTAATATTTATTAAAAATTATAGGCAGTAAATGCAATAAAATATTTAAAAACTGTATTTGTCTATTAGACATCATAGAGTTAAGAGTTGTTTAATTCCTTTAGAGAGACAATCTCATATAGTGGTCAAACATCATTTTTAATGTTATGATGGTGTGATAGTGATATGTGTTCAATAAAAATTGTACTTTGAATTTTTATATTTTTCCAAGGCTAGAAATATGTGGTATGATATTCTTTAATAATGGGCAGCAAGAGTGACCACAGCTCCCAAATAGCCAGGTGATCATCAGGGTAAACAAACAACACTGCAGGGCATGCTGTGTTTCCAAGATCTGACATATGGTATGCTAGGTACACTAAATGTATTTTAAAATTAGAATATTTGCAAATTACAGTAAGATAATCAGGATGTAACCCCATTGGAAGTTGAAGAGTACCAGTATTTTTCTGAATTGGCCAGTTTTCTACAGTTAATACAATCAGTTTTGAACATAAGATTAAGTTATTTTAAGATAAGAATGTCCAATAAGCAAGGCAATACATGTGGAGGATTCTAAGAAGGACATTGATGGTTACCTTAATGTTGGGTAACATTTAGATGATTTTGAATTTAGAGAAATTGGTGTAAGACTACTGTTTTTTTGTTGAAACTGCAAAATGATATTTTCAAGTGTAGTTTTGTTCATATATTTGAGCAGTCTTAATAAGTTGAAATCACTTTTAGCTAGAAGCAATTTTAATTTTACAAAATGTTATTGTCTTTAGGGTAAAATATAGATATAAATAATAACATAAAATGTTTAATCAGATATCCTGTTACCTCACAGCAAAAAATCTCAGGACATATATTATAAAGCTATCCCCTTTCTGAGATCATGATTTGGATGAAGTAATTGAGTTGCAAAGAAACAAATTTCTCAAATTTAGAAGAAATTTATTACAATAAGTAAGTCATTTTGTGCTTAATTTTAATACATGGCTCTGTCCCTTTGGGTCAATATAACAAATCACTACCAACTGGGTAGTTTTTTAAAGAAGATATTTATTTTAAACCATTCTAAAGACTGAGAAGTCCAATTGTGTTGATTTGTGGCTGGGAAGGGCCCATCTCTATTTCACAGATGCTGCTGTATTGATGCACCTGACTAGGTAGAAAGAACAAGGAAACTCAGATTTTTTTTAAAAATATGTGTATGAATCCCATTCATGAAGAGAGAACATTCATAACTTAACCCCCAAAAAAGTTTCACCTTCTAATATTACCCTGATGGTGATGAGGAATCAACATGTTAACTATGGGGACACAAACAGTCAAACCATACTATAGGACAGGAAAGAAAGTGATAGACCATGGAAATGCAAACCAAAAGTAGGCATAGTTACTTATACTAGACAGAATAGAATTTAAGTCAACAACCATAAAATGCAGGCAAGAAACGTCATTATATAGAAATGAAATTTACAATACACTCAATATATACAACAATTATATCTGTATGCATGGGCATTTGTGTATACATGTGTGACTCCAACATGGGACCAAGTAAACATAAAAAGTGAACATCAAGCCAGGTGCCAGTGGCTCACAGTTACTCAAGAGGTAGAGATCAGGAGGATCATATTTTGAAGTTAGTTGAGCAAATAGTTTGCAAGGCCCTAGCTCAAAATTATTCAACACAAAAAAAGGGCTGGCAGAGTTGCTCAAGTGGTAGACCACCTGCCTACCAAGTGTGAGGCCCTGAGTACTTACTAATGAATTCTTATTTGTGTTTTTTTAAAAGATAGCTGTATTGTTTCTGTTCAAGCTTATATGTCCTTTGGAATTAATTGAAATAATACATGTAAGAAATAGAAATAATAAAAATACAGAGAAATACAAATTAGGAAACTCATCCAACTATTTCTAAATAATGTTAACGCATGGTAATTCAAGACATCTTTCTCTATAGACATAGGTATTGATAAACTGTATCAAAGACCTTAATATAAGGCATGAAACGTTGAAACAATTGCAGGAAGTAGTGGGAAATACACTGGAACATATAGGCATAAGGAACAACTTCTTATGTAGAACTCCAGTTGCTCTGCATCTTAGAGAAAGAATGAACAAATGGGACTGCATCACCTAAAAAATTTCTGCACAGCCAAAAAAAAGTAACTAGAATTATGAAACTGCCCACAGAAGAGGAGAAAATCTTTGGCAACTATTCATCTGATGAAGGACTAATTTCCCAAATCTTTAGGGAAGTAAAAACTCAACCCCCAAAGAATCAATATCCCAATGAAGAAATGGCCACATGAATTGAATAGGGAATTTTGAACAGAAAAGGTACAAATGGTCAAAAAATACAGAAGTGTTCAACTTTCCTAGCTAAAAAGAAAGGCAAATCAAAACTACATTAAGATTTCATCACACCACAGTTAGAATGACCATCTTCAAGAGCAAAAACAAGTGCTGGTGAGGATGCAGTGAAGCAGGAACTCCTAAGCACTGTTTTTGAGAATGTGAATTAATACAACTTTTATGGAAAGTAGTATGAAGATTCATCAAAAACATAAAAACAGAACTACCATAAGATCCAGTGGCACCACTCCTGGGCACATATGCAAACAAACATTAGTCTGCATTTAATAGAGACCCTTACACTACAATGTGTATTGTAGCACTATTCACAATAACCAAGCAATGGAAACAACCCAACCCAGATGCCCTACAACAGATGAATGGATCAAGAAAATGATGTACATGTACACAATGAAGTCTTATCCATGAAGAATAGAGACATGTGGTTTGAAGGTAAATGGATGCAACTGGAGGACATCATGTTAAGTGAAGTAAGCCAGGCTCAGAAAGACAAAGTCTGCCTATTTCCTCTCATACATGCAAGATGGATCCAAAAGATAAACAAAGACTCAAAAAAGGAAAAAGCATGATCATAACAAACTCATATGTAGACTACTCTATGGATCTTGTGGAAGAAAGGAAAGGAAAAGAGAATAACAGATATCAACAATCTCATAAAACATAACATCTATGAAAGTAGAGGATATTAGGATACATATTGAGAGCTGTTGAAAAATGGGAGGTAGGAGGTAAAGGGGTAAGGGAGAGCAATGGAAGGGGTTGAATGGAAAAAGTAAAGTACACTCACAGTAGGGATATATTGAGAAATCCATTCACACATCAAATTAAATATTAATAACCAAATACAGGATTTTGAAGCAGGTTTAGTGGGAGGAGATACTTGTGGGAGGGGTGAGGGTGAAAGAAGTAGATTAAGGTGAGAACATATGGCCGATGGACTTCATATACTTATGTGAAATCAAAAAAAGAAACTTCTTGCAATTGCTTTCAGTGCAGCATGGAAGGTGTCCAGGGGAAGAGAAGGTGTGGGTGATCTAAAAAATACACAATATTAGCCTATTTGGAAGTGTCACAATGAGTCTCCCCTGTACAATGAACATATCCTAATAAAAACGTAGACATCAATAGATCAGAAGAAAGAAACAGATTGCAATACTTTAACATCACAGACTTCTATATTCAACTTTCATCAGTGAGTATATGATCTAGTCAGAAAATCAATAAAGAAACATTGGACTTGAACTATATTCTAGACCAACTGGACCTAGCAGGCCTTTGCAGACCATTCCACCTAATAAAAATAGGGCATGCATTATTAACAAGTGTGTATAAGATATTCTCTGGCATATATATGTTAAGCCACAAAAAGTCTCAAAAATTAGTAATAATGAATCTTTTCCAAATATAGCATTTTAAACTAGAAATAAATATAAGAAATAATTTGAGACAACTATTAATACCCAATATACTAACAGTTATGGATTGCAGTTCTAAGAGGGAACTTTATGGTATAATTATGTAACTAAATGAACTACAAGAAAGATCTCAAATTATCTTAATATTTCAAAGAACAGGAAAATGAGCAAACAAATAAAAAGATAATAGGAGGAAGTAAATGAGTATCAGAATAGAAAGAAACAAGATGGAGACTAGAAAAACAACACTAGGCATAAATAAAACTAGGAGATAATTTTTTGATGAAATAATTGAAATCAATAAATGTTTCAGAAATGAAAGAAGAGAGGTTGCATCTGATAGTACAGAAATGCAAACTATCATGAGACTACTATGAAGAATTTACACCAATAATGTCAATAACCTGGAAGTAATGAATATAATAATAGATATATACAATGTTCAAAGACTAAACCACAAATAAATAAATAATCTGAACAGACCATAGTGAAAAAGAAATTGAATCAACCACAAAATTTATTATAGAAGAGCCCAGGATCTGATGGCCTCCCTTCTGAATACTGC